GGGTGCCCGGCGGGTTCCCCACGGCTCCCCGGCCTCACGGGCTGCTCTCGGCGCTGCTGCATCATCGTGCCCGCTCCGTGGGCGCCGCTTAATCCCCTCCGCCTCGCGTTCCGCGAAGCCGGCGCCGTTCCCAGCACTGGCACGGTGCTGCTCCTCTGCTTGTTGAGTGGGAGCTACCCCGCAGTCCCCACCAGCCCGCGCGTCTGCCTCACACCTACCGCAGCAGAGGTAACACCGCTCTTGCTGGGGAGGACCAACCCTTTACTTGTAGTAGTACATTCACTTTCTGCTAAAACAGGGTCTCTGTTTGAATCGCTGCAGAGTTGCTGTTGGTGCAGGTTCTGGCTTTTATGGAAACACCTGTTTGCTAGGAGGACTGAGATGGTTGAGTAGCTGTCAAAAAATAGCAGGCACCCCTAACGATCTGCACAAGTGAGACAATGTGTGCCCCACTTGCTTCAGCTTCCCTCTTCCAGTAATTATCCCGCAGAAATTTTCCCAAATGATGGCCACTGTTTGGTACTTTGTCACGTGAGAGTCATTCTTCTGCTGTGATAATATCTGACAGCTTTGAAGTATTTGTGGCCAACTCTTATAACCTTTTGTATCATCCAATATCTAAGTATTACAATTACATTTTAGAAACCTGAGATTTGTCTCACTGCCTTTGGTGGATTTCTCAGAGGATGTCACTGTGCTGAGTGGTGTTTTGTTCACCGTGGGAAGACACGCACAATCTATCTAGAAGCCTTTTCTGTGTCAGTGCTTTATAACTCTGCCTCTGTAAATGTGGGTACATAGGAGAAGAATCTGGAAATGATGAATTTCTTCTCTTGGCTAGTTTTTTTTTTATTTATTTTATTTTTCCTTTTTAAAGAAGGAGTTTATGTACTTTTATTTGAGGACAAACTGAAATTGGTACTTTCTGCTGGAAGATACATTGATTTACAAATTGTACTTTCTTCTGTGTGTACTTTGTCACTCTTCAAGCAATGCATACACTTTTTACTAAGTCTCATTTTCCTTTTGTCCATTCTTTTTTCTAGCAGCCATTTTCAGTTCTTCAGTTGAGCAGAACGTTTCAGGTGTTTCTAAAACAGTAGCTTCTGCCTCTTTACCCTAAGTTTGTGACCTCTGCAATAGAAAGTCCAGGCAATGAAATCAGCAGTGGCTAACTGCTAACAGTTGCTTATTCCAGCGCATAGTGATTACTGAGTTAGTAATTCTTTTAAAAAGAATGCCTTTTAAATAGAGTATGCTACCTAGTGCCTGGAAAAATAATACAGGATGATGTGTGTAGCTCTAAAATACTGCTCTGTATTAATTTCTAGATTGATTTTTTGAATTTAGAAACATGTCTGTTGTTGTGGGCAAAAATATCGTGACTTGGGGTATTTAATTTATTGCCAACTAACATAAACTTTTAATTACTGATTTGGCTAGTGAGATACAAAGAAGACAACCAGTTAAACATTTCCTTCCCTTCACCCCAGACACATCCCTTTCCCTGGTTTCCTCATATCCCCTGCCCACCCTGTCCCTTGGGCAAGGCAGCGGTGCAGAAGCTTGGGGTTGGCGTGTGGAGGTTTCTGTCTGATGCTCCGTCTCTCTCATTTCTTCTGCTCCCATGTGAGCAGGGGCTATGGCTATCGGCCACAGTCCCCTTTAGGGTGTCCTTGCCCCAGCATAGGCATCTCCACAGGCTGCAGTCCCCTCAGGGGTGTCCGTGCCCTGGCCATGATCACCTCCACAGGCTCAGGGGTGTCCCTGCTCTGGTGTGGAGAGTGCATCTCCAGCCACATCCCAAACAGTGTCCGCTTCCCCTGTCTTTTTTAGTGCACTGTCCTGCAGCTGTGCATACCTCCACCTGTGTTTCCTGGTGTGCTTTCTGACACTGGCAGCTCGTCCCTTTATTAAAAAAGCTGGAGCAGAGGCAATGCACGTTCATTTGATGAGCTGGAGATTTGGCAGGTGGTGGGTTTGGTCAGTTATGGGGCCAGCTGGAAGTGGTCATGGCCAGCACAGGGCAGTTGATGGCCTCTTTGCATGCAGCCCTGGGCTACCAAAACCTGCAGTTTATCCTGAATACACTGGTGTGCCAGTTGGGTGGTGCTCGGAGAACAGTCTTGACATTGCCTAGTTATAGGAACTCTGGTGACCTTTCAGAAACATAGATATAAAACAAACTTTTCTGCTATAGCTTGCTAAATAGAACTACTGTGTTGTATCACTAGGTTGGTAGCACTTCTATGATTGCATTTGTTATTATCTTGTCTGTCTGAGTAGTGTCTGCTCCTATGTCACTACTGATAACTGGATTCAGAGGCAGCCAGTCTGTGTAATGATCACATTCATGTACATTTTCATAGTCAACTTTTTTTTTCCTAAAACTTTCTCAGAGTTATTTTTCCTCTGTTTTTCAGATCTGAAGGTACTAGTTCTGCATGACGCAAAGGTAGCAACTCAGATTGCCGGGGAAGAGTTGGAGCTCTGATCCACCAATGTGAGTGGACACGTTCTTCTCAGAGATCGTTTCATTTCTTTGTTGTTTTGTTTGGCCGACTCATTCAATGATTTTGTCATCTCTCTTATCTTTTGGCCTGAATTGCTGCCACCTTGACTTCCGTGTGGGATTGTGTGTGTTAGAGATGAGGCTTCAGGTTTGGGGGAATCGAGACCTCCTCTCTCAATCTTGGTAGAATAAGGAATAATTTAAAGTAGCCATATTTGAAATAGAGGGCTTGGAAAGAGAAGGTTTCTTAGCTGTTGACAGTAGAGCCTGTGTGCACAGGGCTGGATGCAGCTGTGGTGAGAGCTGGCAAGAGTGACAACGGTGGTCAATCATTGGTGTGTCCTGCTCTTCTGCAGCCTAACATGCATGCTGCTTTGGGTGGGTATTAAGTCTCCTTAACGTCTCCCTTCTTTCTTCCCAAGTACGTATTGTTTCTATCTGTACAGAATCTTTACTTGATGTTTAACTTAAAAATGCATAAAGTTACATGGTCTTCCTGAACTGTTGCAGGCTGCAGAGTCCTTGGAGTGAAGAGACTATGTATTGGTGTTGCTCTTAGACAGGAAACAAGCCGTTCTTCTTGCTTCTCAGGGCTTTCTGCCCTACCCTGTGCCTTAAACATGGAAACTGTAGGAATGAATAGTGTATCCTTGAAACGTCCTCGCTCTGAGGATGGTGTGGCTAAGGCAGATGAAGTTAAAAGACAGAAGATCTCAGAGAAATCTAAGACAGAGAATGACTCTGGGCAGAGTGATGAGACTGTAACAGGGCAACCTGACAAATCTCTGCCTGAGGACATGAAAGACGAAGTAATCGCCAATGAGGAAAGTGAGGAGCAGGAAGATGAGGAACTAGAGAACAGCGATGAAGATGGAGATCCAGAGAGCTTTGCAGACATGATGAAGCATGGGCTGACAGAAAGTGATGTTGGCATAACTAAATTTGTTAGCTCTCATAAGGGATTTTCTGGAATCTTAAAAGAGAGGTAACTGTCTCACTGTGTATGTTAATGTGTGAATTCCTTGTGTCAAGCAGCTGTTGTTCTCTGTTTCCCTTTTCTGACTTGCTGGGTGCAACTGGATTATGTGCAGCCACTTGGGAGGTTCATTGCTTTCTTTTCCTAGTGCTGGGATTGAAAGAAAGGTTTAACTTGGGACTTCTCTAGATTGTTGTTTTGCTAGTTTTTTTTTTCCTTTTTTATTTATTTATTTTTTTTTTTTCAAATCAAGTAGAGCTCTGAAGAAAGAAGCTATGTATGGGTAGAAATACATGATTACACTGACCTTTGCCGTTTGTCTTGCTCCCTGGCAGCAGCATACAGCTTAAAACCTTATGCAGTTCACCCACCTATTGTACCATTCTTCATACAAGATGCACTGGAGTACAGTACTGGAACAATTCCTCTTTCGTTCTTCTTTGCTTTCCCCTGACATTTTTGTGCTAATGTCTTTAAACACATATTTTTCAAATGGCCCATTAGACATTAAATTATAGTCTGATCATTTGTATTGTCATTTACAGAACGTAAAAGTGAGTTTTATGATTCAGGGTGTGGAATTTTACATGATATACTTAATAAGATGTTTGGGGTTTAGTAGCTTTTTAAATGAAACTTCAAGGTTTTTAAGATTAAATAATGTCTTTGAGTACAACATAATGCAAATATAAAAACTCACTGAAATGAGAATCATTGCTCTGACTTAGAAAAGCAGTTAAGGATGCTTTGTTTACACACCAAGAAGTCCCTGGTCTTAAATACGAGCTTTGTGTATTGATCATTTTACATGATAAAGTGATATGTACGTATAATGTACGTATTTAATCTTTACATGTAGTGTTAAGCAGTTAGCATAATCCTTCAATGTGGAACACAGTCTGTGCTGAACCTCCTTCTGGGAAATATGCCAGTTTTGAACCAAGGTGGCCAGGGGTAGCTGGGTGGTAGAAATGTTCATGGGCTCCTGGTTTTCCTTTGATGCTAGTTTATAACACCCATCGTTACTGGCATTTTTATGGTACCAGTCAGTAGCATGTCTAGACAGTTACAGATAGTAAGAAAGACGACACGTGGCACTCCATGTCGGGAAGGAAGTCTAACAATATGGTACATGGCTGCACAGAGGTCTGGTGAACAGAAACATCCCATAGTGAAGTTTTATTCATCTTTCAACGTTCATAGACTACAAAGTTTATTTTTCCTTTACGAGCAAACGCTACTTAAATATAAATTAGCAGTTTCAACAGACTGTCTGTGCTCTGTTAAAGTCAGAATATTTTTATTATTGGACATAGTGACTTGATTAAAAATGTAACAGTCAAATTCTTCGTTGCTGTCACAGAGTATGCAGAGTGACTTTATTTGGAAGATGTTCTCTCTAACTGAATATATGTAACAGATCTAAATTTGTTCTGCTTTCCTTAGAGTGGCTAACATATGCTTCATTCTGCAGGTTATTTGAAGTGGCAGAGTTAATGCATTTGTGTTCACATTGTAGCAATGCAGTAGAGTCTTAATTGTCAGTAATGACTGGGGTTGAGGATATACATTACTGATCTCTGCAAGCTAGTTAGAAAATGATTCTGAATGACTGCAGCAGTTTTTCTATCTGCAGAGAAGTCTGCTGTGTTTAGATATGCCAGACTTTTTTTTTTCTGTGTTCTCATGGTATCCTTCTGAAGGGTGGGAAAAGGTACAGCTTTCTCATGGTTGAAGTTTCTTTTATATGAATTGAATGATATGAATTCAGAATTCTTGAGTGAATTCTGGTAACATGCAGCTTCTCGGGAAAGGACTCTGATGTGGGCTTTTAATTTTTTTTTTTTTATTACAAATTTAATATGTGTTTCTTCCTATCAGATACTCTGACTTTGTTGTCCATGAAATAGGCAAAGATGGACGTGTGAGCCATTTAGATGACTTTTCTGTTCCAGTGGATGATGAGGTAAATTTTGAGGTAAAGATTTGGTAATGGCTATGCTTCTTAAGCAAAAACATTAGAAGGCTGAAAGTCGTTCTCTGGGGGTTATTGGATGTTTGTTTTTTCCCCCTCAAATATGTATTAGGATCCGTCAGAAGAAACATTTACAGTTTTGTCAGATGAAGACAAGCAGCGTTTAGAGGAGCTTCAGCTTCTTAAGAATAAGGAAACTAGTGTTGCCATAGAGGTAAAATTAATAACTTATATGAAGTTTTGGGGGAGTGGGGTGGGAGGATGAGAGTGTAAGTGGCAAGAACATTTCTAGTGCATGTAAGTGTAAAAGCAGTTTGAACACGATGCAACACGTAATACCAAAATGTTTCCAGTTTAGGATTTAATTCTGTAAAGCCTTACAAATATACTCAAATTCGTGCAAGCTGTCATTCTGATTTTGGTGGGACTGTACAAACAAACTCAAGTACGTCCCTTAATTTCAGTGGTGTTAAATTTTTTTTTTGTTTTCTATTAGTATACTATAGAATAATTATGTAAGAAGGGTTAAATAAAACATCCGTCCTGGTGAAAGACTATTTTCAAGGTCAGCCTTTAGTGATTTAATAGGAAAGAAGATAAATATTCTCTTCCATACCAAGAAAATTTAGAAGGTACAAAATAAAACTTGGTGTTTTTAAACATCCAAATATTACATATTTGAAGTACAGCTGTTGAGGTAAATTTGGGACACAGAGATGAGTAGGATTAAATCTAGTAATTTCAAATAAGCATTCACACATGAAATAGTCACATCTAGCCTTTTTTTTTTTTTTTGCACATAGAAGAACTTTGTTCTGCCGGAGTTTAGAAGAGGAAATTTTATGAAGCACAGAAGAGGGCAATAAATATTAAGAATTTTCTTCTGTGAATATTGAGACTGGGATTTGCAGAAGAGTTACTTATTCTTTTTCAAACTAAATTTAATAAGTAGGCCAGATTATTAGAAGCACATCTGTTCAGTATTTTATTGTGATATGGTAGATTTTCTTGAAGCATGAAAAATCTAAATTGTGAGAGAATCCCTCCCCTTTTTTATTGCTTTATTTTGTTTCTGGGTGCGTGTGTATTAACACAGGTAATTGAAGACACCAAAGAAAAGAGAACAGTTATCCATCAGGCTGTGAAGTCCTTGTTTCCTGGGCTGGAGACTAAAACAGAAGATCGAGATGGGAAAAAATACATTATTGCTTATCATGCTGCTGGGAAAAAAGCGCTGGCAAGTGAGTTTCAGTATCACAGCAGCTGGGTAAAGTAAATGTTAGAATTATCAAAAAAACAAAAATCATCAGTAAGTACTTCAAGTGAAGCATACTTTCTGACATAGCCTGGCTTTGGTTTTTCCTCTTTGCAGCTGATGCCGTGCATCTAAAATGGGTGGGAATGTAGGAACACAAGGAGAGTCTCAAATATAATTTTCTACTTTTTTTCTTTTTCTTCCTTTTGAAATCACTCATCAAATACAACCATGTTAGAAGTGAGAGGATCTTTTGCTATTTCAGTGGGAATATGCAAAATAGGAGCTTTATTTTCAGTATTGTTTGAACTTGGCGTTCATGAACTTACATGGATATGTAAGTGTGCTTTGTGGAAGAGGTTGTAGTTGAAATGCATACGTTACACTGACAGTCGGTGTCATCTTGACTGTCTTGAAAATCCATTACAGAATTCTCAATGACTTGAATGGAGGCAAGCACCTATTTGTTTCCTTAGAGTTATATGTAGTTTTTTATATATATATAT